CACATTCCACAACTTTCTCATCAGTTCATTTATCAAAAAAACAGAGCAAAACCAAACTAATTTCACTCCAGTGTAAAAATCCAATCTCAAATCTGATTCAGATATGATCCTCTCAATTGCCTCTGCTAGCATCTTACTCCTTTGTCTGTAGGAGGGATATGAGAGATGGCAGGGGCTGCTTATTGAAGATAAGGGAATGCCCCTTCCCCCAAGACTGTGCAGAATTCTGTTGCTTTCGGTGGTCACTGAGGATGTGGTGGTCTCCTCATAACTTTGTGCAATTTTTAGGGTTGTTTAGCTTCACCTTGGTCCATCACATCACTGAGGACACCGAGAGGGGTCACCAACCCATGTCTTCCTTTAGTCTTGCCTTTGGTCCACATCCCAACCCCCTTAAGCAGCTTTTGCGTAATCTCAGGGCTTGGGCTTTCTCCTCTCGTCTCTATATTCCTTCATATTGAGTCACACATGGAAGTCCTCCTCTGCACCCTCTGATAGATGAGGAAACTTGCAATGGGTTGGAGGTTTCCTCCACATTCTTATTTTTATTTATTTATTTATTTAATTTTTTTGCTGGGAAAGATTCACCCTAAGCTAACATCTATTGCCAATCTTCCTCTTTTTTTCCCCCTTCCCAAAGCCCCGGTACATAGTTGTATATTCTAGTTGTAAATCCTTCTAGTTCTTTTTTTTTAGAATTGAAAGCCATTCAAGCCAATTTTTTTTTTTTTTAATACTTTTTGGTGAGGAAGATTGACCCTGAGCTAACATATGTTGCTAATCTTCCTCGTTTTTTTTTCTCCCTGAAGCCCCAGTACATAGTTGTATATTCTAGTTATAGGTCATTTTAGTTCTTCTATGTGGAATGCTGCCTCAGCATGGCTTGATGAGCAGTGTGTAGGTCTGCACCCAGGATCCAAACTAGTGAACCCCAGGCTGCCAAAGCAGGGTGTGCAAAACCAACCACTTGGCCACGGGGCTAGGTCTGGTCCTTCTAGTTCTTCTCTGTGAGCCACCACCACGGTATGGCCACTGGCAGATGAGTGTGTAGTTCTGTGCACAGGAACTGAACCTGAGCTGCTGAGGTGGAGCACGCCGAGGTTTAACCACTAGGCCATCAGGACTGGCTCCTCCACCATCTTCTTAAGTTCCCTATAACATGGTTTCTTTGTGTCCCACTTTCCTAGGCTCAGCGAGCAAGTCCCCCTCCTTCAAAATTTCCAGAAAAGAAGCAGGCACTATTACTGGTGTTCGGATATGTTCCCTAATTCCAAAAGATGCAGGTCAAGATCTCCCCCAGACTTCCTCATGGGGCTCACTGCACTTTGTAGGCAGGCTTTGGGTTGGTCTCTGGGTCCCTGACTCTGCAAGTATTCAGCTAGGTAATTGGCTGTCAATCCTTCCTTCTTGCCAGCACTCACCTTCTGTATTTCATTGAAGCTACCCCTTCACTGGGCTTCTGGTGGGTCTAGAGGAAATATTTTTCTGCTCACCTAGGGCTAAGAAGTTGGTTGGGAGTAGCAGAGGTGGTTCTCCTGCCTCTGAATAAGTCCCCAGGGAGGGTTTTGTCCCCAGTGATTGGAGAGGCCTTTAAAAGCATGGAATCCTTATGCCTTTTTGTCATCATTTTTCAGTCAGAATAACCAATTCCAAGACAATAGGAAAAAGTCCATTCAACATTTTATAATTATAGCATAAAACTAAACTAAATGATATCCTTCATTCTTATTTGATACTGCAGTCTATGGTGAAAAGTAAAAACAAACTCTAACCCACAGGATATGGCAAACCAGATCTGTTCAGTGCCTAAGAGTTTAAGTTAGGTGTGTTTAGAGCAGAACGGATTTTCCCAGGTCATCACAAGCACTATTAATGAATAATATTATAGTTGTTTTGTTTGACTTTCTATTGGAATATGGCAGGTATAAGGTGGGTATCAGAGTGAGGAAGATGAGATAGGCCTGTTATTAAATCAGTGATCAGTCAAGAATGTAGCTCACTAACAATGTTTTACTATTTTTATTTGAAGGGCTTTGAATATAATAAGCAGGATTGGGATTGACTTAAAAAAATAAACAGATTTCCCTTTAAGATGTTTGAAAGACTTTTTAAAAATTCAAGTGGATGTTAAAATGTACTTCTTAATCTTCTGCTTCATAGGCCCCTTAACAGAGGTTTGAATAAAGAAGTATTTTAGGTTCTGGCTTAAATATGAAGATGATTTTAAGCATTCCCAATGGCTAACAAATATAATGGTTATCATTCCCAGAGCAGTACTGTCTTCAGAACTTCTCAGCTGAATTCTTTCTGAATGACATTTCTGCTATCCGTATCCTTCTTGTTAAGAACTCAGTAATGGACTAGGTTAATTAGAGATAGGTAATCTTACCTTATATTAATCATCCTTCTGTCAGAATAAATTAACCTTTTTAGCTCCTATTTTCTGGAATTCCCAGCCTCTGTAGACACTGTTCTTGAGGCATTAGATAGCCTCATAAAATTTTAAACTCATTTGAATTTGGAAATACCTATTACTGATAGAGTTATTGAAGTTAATAATCACAGAGATTTACTCTGAGATCATTGAAGATAAACTTAATTCAGGCACCTCACTTGTTTCTTCCTAGCTGTGTGATCTGGGGAAATTCAGTTATCATCTCTGAGTCTTCATTTCCTGACTTACAGAATGGGGATAATAATATCCACCTCAAATTGTGGAAATCAAATGGGATAACACCTACAGAGGATTCTGAAATGGACTGCTGAAATGTTTGGAATTGTTAGTATTAATTTGAAATATGGTCAAGTCGGAAGACTTCACTTTTTCCACTGTTGGTGTTCACTCGATCCCTAAGATCATGGAGTTCTTTTTCCTGGCTCCCCTGTATCCTTGGCAGGGAGAAAAATAATGGCAAAACGTTGTGTGAGATGGTATTCTGACAACTTGGGGCTCCCACAATTCTTTGGTACACGTGTGGCCTGGGGAGTAGATGTATCAGTCAGTCCAACAAAGAATGGAGCCCATGGGGCTAGCCACAGTGGAGATTCATGACACCGCATGGTAAACACACTGAAAAACTAATATGCATTGAAATAAATCTATTAACAATGTAAATATAAGTTGATCTGCTTTTAAAAGGCAAAATAATGCAGTGAATTTCATGAGAGGTAATTTGGGAAATATTCAAACATTTGGCTTTAATTAGAAAGGAAGGAAAATATATCAAAACTAGATTCCATTGGGCAGGGTTTGTTTATCCATCTCATCTTGAGTTTGAGCCAAAAATCCTCAGTTTTGACCAGTTCTTAAATGTTTTTCCAAATTTGAGCAGAGCCTTTGGCCTGTTTAGAGATAGATGCAGCTTAGTTCAGTGTTAGATGAGAGGGATGGTGGCCCATGCCTATCAGGGCCCACCAAAATGAAGAGCAAGAGAAGGTCACGGGGTGGATAATGCTGTGTGGGGGGACAGATGGATAATGCTGTGTGTGGGCAGAGGGGCACCGCTGCTGGGCAAGTGAATACTGTGAGGTGGAGGACATCCCATTCATTGGAGTTTCTCTTGGGCAAATGAATGTATGTATTTAAGAAAAATGCTTCAATAAACAACTTGAGAGTAGTTGTCAGAACCTCCCCCACAAACACACACCCCCCTCCACCACTAGGGGAGAACTGCTTTCCACATGGGGCCCTTTGTTTTGGTCACTTCCCTAAAGAGCTGGTAAGTATGTTTGGAGGTAGAATTTAGGAGAGGGCCGAGTTTTGGGATATCTGAGGAGAACGGAATGTGAGATTCTGGGGTATACTGGGAAGAGGGAAGAGCCAGCTTCGTGGACCTGTTAGAGAGGGAGGAAAGACAAGTAGCCACTTGGCTGAAGAAATACTTTGAAAAACCAAAATATCTAATGAGGGATTTTTAAAATTAGTTTTTTGAATAGATGATGGAGACACATGTTTCAACAGAGGTATAAAAACAGGGATCATAGGGGCTGGCCCTGTGGCCGAGTGGTTAATTCGCGCGCTCCGCTGCAGGCGGCCCAGTGTTTGTTGGTTCGAATCCTGGGCGCGGACATGACACTGCTCGTCAAACCACGCTGAGGCGGCGTCCCACATACCACAACTAGAAGGACCCACAACGAAGACTATACAACTATGTACCGGGGGGGCTTTGGGGAGAAAAAGGAAAAAATAAAATCTTTAAAAAAAAAAAACAAAAAAAACAAAACAGGGATCGTAAAGTCTCCTTAATATCCTGGTTCCTCAGTGCTCACCCCTCCGTCCCCTGGTAAGCACTGTTGTTGTTTTCTCATGTACCCTTTCGAGTTTCTGTATGCACATTTAAGCAAATACGAACATTGATTTTTATTTTCCTCCTTTGCTTTTTTTACGCTGAATTTAGCATATTACATACATTGTTCTGTACCTTAAGTTTTTTTCACTATACCGTATATTTTGGGCATCTTTCCTATCACTACATAGAGAGCTTTCTAATTCTTTTTCATTGTCCCACTGTGTTCCATTTTATGGATGTACCATAATTAATTTAACCTATTTATGGACATTGGGTTGTTTCTGATTGTTTGCATTTACAACAATATTGCAATGAGTAAACTTATACAGAGCTTCTTTTGCTTTAGTGCATGCCCACCCATAGAATAAATTCCCAGAAGTGTTGTTGTTGGACAAGATATATGCAATTGTAATTTTTTTTTTTTGAGGAAGATTAGCTCTGAGCTAACATCCGCTGCCAATCCTCTTTTTTGCTAAGGAAGATTGGCCCTGAGCTAACATCCATGCCCATCTTCCTCTTCTTTATCTGTGGGACGCCTGCCACAGCATGGCTTGCCAAGAAGCGGTGCCATGTCTGCACCTGGGATCTGAACCAGCGAACCCTGGGTTGCCGAATCAGAACGTGCCCACTTAACTGCTACACCACCTGGCTGGGCCCCCAGTCTTCCTCTATTTTGTGTGTGGGTTGCCACCACAGCATGGCTGCCAACGAGTGGTGTAGGTCCACACCTGGTAACTGAGCCCTGGCCACCAAAGCTGAATGTGCCGAACTTAACCGTAGGATCATCTGGCTGGCTTCTAGGATTTTTTTAAGGTCATTTTTTCAAAATTTTCAGACTATCTCAAAGTTACAGAAAAGTTGCAAGTACAAAGAACATTTTTTCCCTCAACTATTAAAGTGTAAGTTTCCAACACAATGCCCCTGCACCCCAGAAAACTTTAGGGTATATATCTTACAAACCAGAACATTCTCCTGCATAACCAAAATAAAGCCATTGGTCTCAGGGCATTAGCTTTGATACATTACTACCATCTAATCCTCAGACTTCATTCTTGCTTTGCTCTTTATCCCTAACATGTCCTTTGTAGCAAAAATATCCGGTCTAGAATAGTGTGTTGTGCTTAGCTGCTGGGCCTCTTTAACCTCTTTCAATCTGAAATGGTTTCTTCCACTTTTTTTCACTTTCACCATCTTGATACTTTGAAAGATTATAGGCCAGATATTTTGTAAAATTTCTCTTAATTTGGGTTTGCCTGACGTTTCCTTTTGACTCACTTCAGATTATACTTCTTTGGCAGGAATGTGACAGAAGGTACGCTGTGTTCTTCTCATTGCAACCTATTGGGTGGCACGTGATGTTGATTTATCACATTACTGATGGTGTTCACTCTGATCATTTGATTAAAGTGGTGACTGCCAGGATTCTCCATTGTAAATTTAATCTTTTCCTTTTGTAATTGCTAAGTATTTTGTGGTAGAGTACTTTGAAATCATGTAAATATCTCTTTTGGTATTAAATTTCAATTTATCAATTTGTTTCTTTTAGTTATATGACTATGAACTCATTGGTTTCTGCTGTATTCAATGGGTCATAATTTGTCACTATCATTATTTATTTTGATGGTCAAGTTGTCCTAGATTTGGTCAGTGGGAGCTCCTTCAAGCTGGCTCCTCTGTTCTTTTGACTTATTTCCATCATTCTCTGAGCCTTTCCCTGCTTTCTGATTCAAAGAGATGTTCCAAGCTCATCTTGTACTTTCCCTGCCCTGGCCTTGGAGTCATCCATTTTTCAAGGAAACTTTTAGTGGAGACCGGTATTTAGAAGCCAAGATCTGGGTGCTACGTGTGCTCCTCACTATTGGGTTATCTCTATTCCTAGGCCTTCTTAATAGACACATGTTTACATCTATATTTATTTATTTCTATACATTACAACTATAGGTTGATACCATACCTTCAATTCTTATCCAACATCACATGATTCATTATAGTTTTCTCCTTTTCTGTATTTTTAATTCCCTTCTCTGACAGTGAGAAACTTAGCTCACATTATCCTTAAATAGTTGTTTATTTGAGCATCCCTCCTGTATGTAACACATCTCACATCTCTGCCCCTCTCCCACATAAATACTTTTCTCGTTCCCTTGGGCTATGTGCCAGGTACCTCCCTTCCCCTCCTTTCTCTCCCCATCTCCACAGTTCTGTTTACTCTTCCTAGGCTCTGCAGGCTTCTTGGTCCGATTTTAATTTGCATTCTTTTTGTTATGAATGAGGTTGAACAATTTTTAATGAAGAGTTCCAATATAAATCCTTTCTCTATTTCCCATCCAAAATCTTCAGTAAAATCAACATTTCCAAGTAATATTTTTGTAGAGTTAATTATTTAGTAGTTCTTGAATCAGAGCTGAGTTTTTTGTTCAGCTGCACAGAGTGACTGTGTTATTTAAATCATTTATTCATTTAACAGGTACTTGTTGAATTCACTGTATGTTCCAGCCACTGTTTAAGCTCTGACGATCCAGTCGTGAAAAAGAGAGCAAATTGCCTTCTCTCATGGAATTTATATTTTTAGTGGTGGAGTCAAATAATGAGCAAGTTAACCTATAAGCTTAGAATGTAATATGAGGTAGTGAAAAAACTACAAAAAGAACAGAGCACAGGGACAGCATTTCAGTTGCAGGTGCCAGAGTGGCAGGGAAGCCTCGGTGGATACCTGGGTGACGGAATGGAAAGAAATGTTTTGTGCATACATCCCAAGGGTCAGAGTCTGGGGAGTCATGTCTGCTTGGAAGGAAGAAACCAATTTCTGGCTCTGAGAGCTGGGGTCCTCTGGGGATCTCTTCCAGACAAGATAGGAGGGCAGCCATTCAATATAACCTGTGGACTTCTTGCTCGTTAACTCTGGGTCCACTTCCCAGACTCAGGCCTGTGCGACACTGCCTTCTCAGCTTCAGTTCTAACAAAAACATCAGAAACAACAACTTCATGAGTAACCAATAAAGCTTTGTCTTAAAATTTTTTTAACCTATGTCTAATCTTTATGATGTCTTTCTTGCAAGTTACGAGATGCTAGTTTCATCTAACAGATGAGGAATGGAGGCTTGTAAGGATTAATAATTTGCTCAGCATCATATAGCTAATAAGACACACACAACTGCAATTAATTTCAAAGCCCAGCTCTTTCCACTGTAGCCCGTGGTCAGACTGTTCTGTTATTTTGGGAAAGTGCCTTCCAGAGGCAGCTCCGCTATAAGGTACTAAGGCCTCATATGAGATGGGATTCTCTAGACTATGAGTCTTTTGCTAAAACCTAATAAAAACCCTCCCTTCGTGTAGATCTGTTTCCATTTCAATCACAATAAAATACAATTTTTATTTACTTTTTTAGCCTGAGACATTATCCTCTACTGTCCAGAGTCCAGAGTATATTAGATGGTTAGTTATATACTTTTAATAAATAAAATCTATTATATCTTTGTAAGATATAAAAATACTCATTTTTATATAAAAAATAATACAAAAATATTATTTCACAACTGGTGTACCTACCACCTGATACGCCGTAAATGTGCATCTCTGAACTGTATTTCACCAGTGAGATCAAAGATAAATTCAGCCAATCAACTCCTCAAAGCCCTGATCATAGACCAGTCACTTAAATGGATCTATTTGGATTAAGTATGAGAACTCAGTAACTAAACTGTAGTGCTGGTTAATATTACATTTAAAAGCATCATATAATTGAAAAGACAAATTGTCCATGATTGGGGACCAAATAAAATAAAGTAATACTATTATACCCATCAAAAATAATGCAGAGGCCGTCCTGGTGGCATAGTGGTTAAGTTCACGTGCGCTGCTTTGGCAGCTTGGGGTTTGCGGGTTTGGAACCTGGGCATGGACCCACACACTGCTCGTCAAACCATGCTGTGGTGGCATCCTACATATAAAATAGAGGAAGATTGGCACACATGTTAGCTCAGGGACAACCTCCCCAAGCAAAAAGAGGAAGATTGGCAACAGATGTTAACACAGGGCCAAACTTCCTCACCAAAAAAATAAGATAGCAGAGATAATAAGAGCACAGTGTTTGAAACCACTTTAGGTGTAGTGAAAAAGGAATGTCACTGTTGAAGAATGCCATTTGCCTCATCAGTGATGTAGCCTAAACCTGGGGTTGTACAATCTCACTGGCTACTGGTAGTCACTTGGGCATGCCTGCCTAGAGTCCTGTATGGTAGTTCACCCTCATCCATCATTTCAGTCACCTGCAGTCAACCGCATTCTGAAAATAGGAAATGGAAAATTCCAGAAATAAACAGTCATAAATTCTAAATATGTACTATTCTGAGTAATGTGATGAAATATAACCCCATCCTGCTGTGTCTCACCAAGACATGCCTTTGTCCAGTGGCTCCACACCATATATGCTACTCACCTATTTGTCACTTAGCTGTCTTGGTTATCAGATTGACTGTTGCAATATCACAGTGCTTATGTTCAAGAAACCCTTATTTTGCCTAATAAGGGCACCAAAACCAACTTTATCACTGACTATTGTTAGTCTCTTACTGTGCCTAATTTATAAATTAAACTTTATCGTAGGTATATATGTATAGGGAAAAACATAGTATATATAGGGTTTGGTACTATTTGTGGTTTCAGGCATCCACTGGGGGTCTTGGAACGTATCCACCTCTGATAAGGGGGAACTATTTGCTGCAGATAAGGAGAGACTACTGTATTGAGACAGACTGTGAATCCTAATCAGGTCTCAGTAGCATAGAGTGCAGGGATCAATTAGTGATGTCTGCCTTGGAAAGGAGAGGAAGGGAAGGAGTGGTGACTCTCATTTTGCTTGGGGCTACATAGGCCCTGGAGCCATTGCTGAGCTGCTATCTGGAACTAGCTCTGCCAGCTCTTCCCTCAAGGCGGCTGCAGAACACAATGAAAACAAGCACACGACCTAGAAATTCGACCACCCAAAGTTGCTTTGACTTACAGTCAAGCAGCTTAGTCTAGCACTCACCACCCTATGAGAAGAGCTTCTCAGTAAATACATCATGTCAACAGGAAAGAGCTGGAGGAGTCTGTGGAGCTGGAAAAGGAAATCAAGACGTCGTGTGAGGAGATAGCCTGGGAAATAGAAGTATTTCTAGGATCTTCAACAGCTGGGGCCTCTGCAGGGCAGTCTCAGTGTGCTGGTGGCCCATTACAGACTAGGCAAGAGAGGATGTGTGGGAGTGGAAGGGAGCTCTGGGTAGGGAAACTAAATCTTGCCGGAAATAGCAGCAGTGGGTGAAATAAAAAGAATCATTTTGTAGTATCTTTTTCAACATAGAAGCATAGTAGTGATTCAATGCACATCTGAAGTATAAATTGAAAATTAGAATAGGATTTTGTAATATATTAAATCTTTTCTGAATCCTGACTCTGCTATCTGTGAAACCTTGGACCCTAGCTCCTTATCAATAAAATGGAGATAATAATAATCCTTATCTCATAAAAGGTGCTTGGTACATAGGATGTGCTTTGCAAGTGTTAGCTCCTGTTATTTTTTAAAAAATTACCTTTGTGAGTGATCAGGGACCTGTGAAACCCATTTAATGATTATGTAGAAATGGAACATTACACAGCCATTCAAAAATATGGAATGATCTCCAAGATATTATTGTTGCTTGAAAAAAAAGCATGATGCAGAAGAGTGTGTACTGTCAGTTTGTGTTTTTTAAAAGGCTATTTAAGTGTATATATGCTAGTATCACTATATATGTTTTCTGGGAGTGATACACAAGAAACTGTTAATACCTTGGAGGGAGACTGGGGGTGTGGGTGGGACATAAGCCTAGTTTTCATTGTGTACTTTTTTGTACTGTTTGAAATTTTAAATAAGCCATATGTGCTTTTTAATTGAAAAGAACAGTTCAAAGTTAAGAATACATGGAGGTAAATATTCACTCAGGTTAGACATTTTTCCAGTGTATTGTTTCAGAAATAGAAAATTTTCGGGGCTGGCCCCTTGGCTGAGTGGTTAAGTTTGCAGACTGCGCTGCAGGCGGCCCAGTGTTTCGTTGGTTCAAATCCTGGGTGCCGACATGGCACTGCTCATCAAACCACACTGAGGCAGCGTCCCACATGCCACAACTAGAAGGACCCATAAAGAAGAATATACAGCTATGTACCAGGGGGCTTTGGGGAGAAAAAGGAAAAAAATAAAATCTTTAAAAAAAAAAAAAAAAAAGAAAGTTTTCATCGGTAAATTATGAAAGTGACCTATTGCTAATAGAATAATCCTTAGCAATTCCAATGTGTATGACTGAGCACTGAAATCTTTATACAATTATCTGTAGTCAATCATGATATATAACAATTTAAGGTATCATATTATGGAAATATTTGTTTGCTCTCACTTTAACTAGTCATTAATTCAGGAATTTTGATTAGGAGTGTATTCTAATTACCTGAAAATAAGTTATAATGGTAACTTATTCATCATTTAGAGCATGTGACACATTTTGGCCAATAGTAAGCTTAGACTTTTAAAATAGCATAAGAGTGGCTAAAGTTGGCTTTAAAATTAATAAGAACTGATAAATTTCTCATTTATTAAAATCATATATATTTTTAATAATATTTTGAAAGTATAGAAATAGCAAACATGCCCCGCCCATAAAAATTCTATCTTGTACACTTAATTCTCTGAGTGTATTTTCTTCTGACTTTTTTCCTTTTAGTATTTATAAATTGCATAAGAGGAGGTTGGGTAGATAGTGAGGAACATATTTCCTTTCACTCCCACTCCTAATTCCCATCTATGTGCTCCTCCTGGACCAAATTCAGAAAGCTGAGTGCAGGTAAGGAGTGAGGCCTGTGGCTCAGTGGACAGAGGACAACCAGGAAGCAGTGGATTCAGGGGAAACTTTGGATGATTGGACAGGGTCAGTCCAGGCTCAGCATGAGTGAAACCAGTCTCTTCAGCTTCCACACAGTCAAGAAGGAGTTGAATGGCTTGGTTAAGTCTTATGGCTGGGGGATTTGGAGGGACAGGTCACAGGGAGGCTTCCATCAGTCAGGTGTCATGATCGGGCAGTGGCAGACTTCCAGCTTCTCTGTCATGGAGAGAGCTTAGCCTTCCACCCTGCAGGACCCCTGCTAGGTAGGGATCTCTAGCAACCAGAACTGAGTCCCACTGAGCCAAAGTGATGTCTTATGTAAAGGTGGCCTGGAAGCCAGAGAGGGGAAGATCAGGCAGACTAATCAGTGCAAGAGAGGTTTTGAGAGGAAAAAAGGAAATTCTGAATTCAAAAATAAGAAGAACATCCAAGGAAATAAAAATGCAGCGCAAAGGGGCTTTTTGTAGCCAATAAATAAATAAATAAATAGATAGATAAATAATTTATTAGAGGAACTTGGGGAGAGGATGCTCACTGTTGAAATCTGAAATAGTCCTTGAGAAATTAGCACCAAGACATTTCTCAAAGTACAGAGTAAAACATGAAGAGATGGGAATCTGAGGGAAGTGGTTACATACTTGGGAAATATGCCCAGGAGGCCTAACATGTGAATCACGGTAGTTCCCGAAGAAAAAAAGAAAGTCAGACAATAATTAAACAAATATGGAAGTCAGTTACCATAACATGAAGAAAGAAGTGAGTTCGCATATTGTAATATCTCGTGAAGTTCTAGGGTGAGAGATGAGGAAAAACACACTTAGATAGGCTAAAACACACTTGTATTAGGATAAAATCTCTGAACTCTGATCATTAATAGAAAATGGTACAAGACTTTAGGCAGAAAGAACAAGTCCTACAAGGGGAAAATCCTGGTCTGCAATCAGAGTTCTCTGTTACTAGAGGGGAAGCCAGAAGACAGTGGAGTAGCATCTGTTGGCACTTATGATACTTCTTACGTGCCTTAGAAATATTAATTATATTAATTTACTTATTCTTCACAACAGTCCTATGGGATAGGTATCATTTTTATTTACATTTTACCAGTGAGGAAACTGGAGCACAGAGAGGTTAAATCATATGCCCAAGGTCTCACAGCTAGAAAGTGACAGGGCCAGGACTCAATCAAAGTGGTTTGGCTCCAGAGGCACCACCACGTTATCATCACACCAGTTGGGTCTCAAATGGGATATCACATTTGAGGAAGACACATGGAGAAAAGAGTCTAAGCAAACAACAGATGAACCAGAAGAGAGAAGAAACAAGGTGAGCCGTGAATGGTGATGAGTTGTGGGAGTGTGTGTGTGCTTGTGTGTGTGTGCGCGAGCTTCTCTCTCTCTCCTTTCTTCTGTCTCTTTCTCTTCCTCAGCAGATTTTACCGTTGTGGACAGTGGTTCATCTTATTGACTGCCACCCCAGGTGGAAGGGGAAAAGGGAAAATCTCAAACTGGTTGTTTTTAACTTGAAATGGTCATGAGAATGTGAAATCGGAGTCTTGTATTAGAATTTGTGCTGCTAAGTTGGTGAAGATAAAGCATAGATCTGTTTTATCAGTTCATTTCTCCATCTTTTTGAAGATGTAGTTGTAAAGTTTCTTGTAATTTATATTTCGCCTAGAGAAAAAAATATTCAGATAGTAAGTGATAAGAGATAGATAAAGCTTTGCTCTTTCAAAGTTCCCTGCCACTGGAAAAGAATAGAAAGCTCAGAAACAGATCTTCACATATAGTATAGAAACTTGATATATGACAGAGATGTTCAAAAATCAAGGAGAAAAGGATACACTATTCAATAAATAACGCCAGGACAATTCTTCACTCATATGGAAAAAATAAAATTAGATTCTTACCTAACATCATACTCAAAAATATATTTTAGGTGCATGAAAGTCTTTAATGCACAAGAAAAGCTTAAAAATTTCTAGAGGAAAGATCTTTATGCCCTCAGAATAGTGATTGATATTTTAAACAAGATACGACATAAAAAGCACAAACTATAAGGCAAAAGATGGTGCTGCATGGTAGATATTCCTAGTATTACTTTATGTGCATTATAAAAAAGCATTAAAAGCGAAAATAGGAGCCGAAGCTCAAAAGAAGGTACTCGCAATGCTTATTACTGACTTTCAAAGAAATGGTATTCAAAATAGATAAAGAATCCTAAAAAATCAATAATAAAGAGATCAGTACCCAATAGAGAAACAGATAAAGATATGAGGAGGCATTTCACAGAAGAGAAAATCTGAATGGCCGTTGATGCAAGAAAAGATGCTTCGCTTGTAATTAGGAAAAAGAAAATTAAAATCAATGGAACACCATCTCACACCCATCAGATAATGAGTGATAAGAGGTAAAAACTCAGACTGGCATAAAATTAGAAAATTTCATAGAAAGAAGATTGTTTGAGGAGGAAAAGCAAAAAAGTACTCCTATTGCTGATGAGAGGCAAAGTCAGGGCAATGATTAAATCAAGATGTGGAATTTAGAGAAAGTCCTGTATATGTGTATGGGGTTATTGAGACAAGAAGGTTGATGGCAGCGTTGTTCATAATATAAGGATGAAAAAGATCTAATTGTCCAACAATAGGAGAATGGATAAGTAAATAGTATGTGGCAGAAAATATGAATGACCTATAGTTATATGTATTTATCTGTGGCTAAATCCTAGCATAATGTTGAGTGAAAAGCAAAATGGGGAAGGGTATGTACAATAGAATACCAGGTACGTGAAGTTTAAAGTGCACGAAACAAGATTGCACGTTGTTTATAGATGCTTTTGTTGTTAGTGCTGTGGAGTCGATTCCAACTCCTGGCGACCCTGTGCACAACAGAGTGGAACCCTACCTGATCTTTGTGCTCCATCCTCTCACTTTCTGGTATAGCAGCTTACATATGTAGTAAAGATATAGCAACATGTGGGATCATAATGATAAACATCAAATTGAGATGGTGTTTACATCTGGGGTGAGATTAGCGCATGTGTGGAGCTGCACAGGAAATCTCATTTTCTGTTTTCTGTTTTAAGGTCATGGGGGTGCTTTGATATTTTTACTATTATTCTGTATGTTTTGATAGGCCTGAAATATCTTACATTTCAAATGGGGGAAAAATTCACTATTGTTATTTTTAAAAATCATATGGCAGTAAGC